TTATCACACCAAAGTAGGCCTCAGCTGCGGTCCACCTAAAGAACCTCTCAGTGGAGATGGAGTTGCTTAGAGAGCCAAATCAATAAGCCTTTAGCCACAGGGCAGGAACCGACTAGGGAATGGGGCTGAGCACCAAAGGCTTCTGGATCTTCACAAGCATGATATTTTTTTTATTTTTTTTTTTACAAGTACACAATAAATTGCTAACTTAAGACTTAGTGTCAGTCGTTAGACTATTTAATTTTTTAAAAGCTAACATACTCCAAACAAATTCCTAGTGATTACATTCATATTATCAAAGTCTCCATTCAGAAGAGGCAGATCCTTCACACAAGTTAAATTCAGAATCAATTATTAAAAAAAAAAAAAAAAAAAAAAAAAAAAACACTTGAATAATCTCACTCATTAAAAATCTCAGAAATAACCAGTAGCGGAGTGCAGTCAGAAAGAGGTTGCAACTTTTAGACGCAACTGGACATTTCTGAATGGTTAGAGGATAAATTTATGTAGTTGTTGTGGAGTTACGTTGATTCATCTCATCGACTTGCATGTACGTCATGTTTAACTTTTACATTGTTTGGTCAAATAGTGTTCTGTGCAGTCAACAACAGAACGGTTTGCATGCTTTGCTTGAACTTTTCCCATTTCCAACTTAAGTGTTGTCACTTGAGAAAACCAAATGGCTGCCCTGTGGATGGAAACATGCAGACGGTAGGGTAAGGGACGGTAATATTATTATAAGATCCCCTTCCTACATCAGAAAGAGAGCAAAATCTAATTGGCTTATTTTGTTGACGTGCTTGCAGATAAAATCTTCCCAAAAGAAAGTTACTAGCTTGTCACTTTTCTGGGTTGAAAGATGGACCAGGGACCTGCCTATAGCACTTATAGCTCTTGCATTAATAAGAGGCCTACAAATCTAAAGCACTACAATGACCCAAATGAGCAGAGGAGGGTCACCCAGTACAGGAATATTGTTTCCAAGAAATCCTCCACATTCCTTTGATGGCTCACAGTGTCCAAATTTCCCACTGAGAGAACTCTTTCATTCTCATCCGAGAGTCGGCCTGTGGAGTCAGGCCCTCTGGGAAATGGGTGACTTTTTTTTCTTATTATTATCCAAGAAGAGAAAAAAAACCCTAGACATTTCAAGGTAAAGCTTTCCCTAGTCAGGAATACTAGTGACGGTGTGCAGGTCTGCATGCAAATCTCTGCAGCACGACTGAGACAGGAAGGTAGACCTCACTGACAGTACTGCTAATCCAGAACAGAGCCATTGATTGAACACGTCCCTAAATGCTGTGCTCTGCCTGGCAATGCGGCCATTTTAAGTCTCATCAGGACAGGGCAGAGCAGGTATCCATTATAAAGGCAGGAGAACGGCGGTGGGCTGATCATTGGCTTACTTCCACAGGATAGGACAATCTGGGGGTTAATGACTTTTAATGATGCTGAAAACATTAAGATGGGACATGGCGTATAACGGATAAACACAATGCACATCTAATTGACAATCAAAATCATTTCAGGTCCACCTTATCTGTGTCAACTCTATGTATGGAAATGAAGATGAGTCATATTTATCAGGCACGCTTCTTTAGTGCTATAAATTACACAAGGCGAATATAGACACAATTGTGCTCTGAATGATGAACTCTCACTAGTTCAACATTTAAAAAACATTTATATTCCAATACCAAAATAATCTCTAGGAAAATGTATCATATTACAGAATATTACACCTTGCTCTTAAATGCGTTTATGTAATTGTTCTTGAATCTCATTAAATAAATAAGTTATCTGCTGACATAAAAAAAAAATAAAAAAAATAAATAAATTCTTGGCAGCTGAAATAATAATATTAAAAAAATAATAATATAAGAATTAGGGTAACACTTTGTTTTGATAGTCCACTTTAGACATTTTACTAACTAACTTTCAAAGCTAACAAAGAGCTTCAGAGACACTATAATAAATGGTTTGGATTCTCATATTTTCTCATCGCTGTGTCAAGTCATTACTGGGCACCACGTCATTAGCAAGGTGGCAAGGTGGAGGAGAGACGGCCATTGTCGCAGGATTTTTCCTTCCGCCTGTAGAGCTCAACACATCCATTTCTATATCATTTTTTTTCAGAGCATTTAGGTAACAAATATATAATAGATTTGAGCAGCAAACTGAAACAGCAGAGAAAAGCTATTTTATATAATCATCTGGAGAGTAGAAAGCAGATTAAAATGTTTCTGTGGGAGCTTTTTTTTTTAAAGATATGATGAGGGTACATTTGGATGTGCTGAGAATAGTTGCCATCCTGTCAGCTAATCTAAGATCTGTTGATTTTACCCTAACAGCAGGCTGAGGCTGGTCCAATACCCTGGTGTTTCTCTCAAGTAAATTCTGAGCAAAAACGGAAGGAAAAAAAGGAATAAAAAAAAAAAAGCTTAGTGGGCTTTTTCCCTCAAGGCGTAGGAGTTTTAGTCATGAGTTAAGGTAATCCGAGCAGATGCTGTTCACTTGCCCTTGTTTGCAGACTCCTGTGCCAATTAGCGGACAAAGCAGACTATGTGTGGCATATTTTCAAAATGAGATTAATTTATATTCCACAGTGTGCAAGCAAAGGAAAAGGCTGATCTTAAAATTATGGCAGCCATCAGAAAGCATGCACGCAAACCAACAGACGCATGCTAGCTTCATGTACAGGATTGTCACAGCTCATTGTCCTTGAAAATTAATCGGAATGAAATGACAAGCCTGGGGACTGCAATCCGCGGTGCACTGGAACAAGGCTCCTGAGCAGAATATTTATGTAAGCCTGGCTAAGTGGCAACAGATGATATCTGTATTCCAACTGGATGGCGGGACTTGAAATGTATGTGATAAACAAGCCTGGGCAGACTGCATTATGAAATGTAAATTTAGCAGTTCGGGTTCAGAATTAGGCCAATGAGGGTGGGCCGGGGACGTGAGGGGGAGGAGAGGGGAGTCTCCTTGCCCTGGACTATATCTAAGCTTACCTGTACTACCAACTAACTGCTATGACATATGGTGCGTGATGCCATTACCATGCTCGTTGCGCACAAGCTCATTTTTCAGCAACCCAACAGCCTGAAAAGGCAATGCTTACACTACAATGCCATTTTGAACTCACTCCAATGGTCCGATTGGTGTCTGGCATAAAAACACATTCATCTCGCTCAGAGACCGTATCAATATTGGTCTAGGACAGCTCAACGGCTAGTGAGAGTGCCTAGTCATTGAAACTCGCATGCTGTTCTTTAGCAAGTCTCAAAAAAGAATGCATCATACAAATCTAGATTGAGTATCTGGATATATGGGGTGGGAAACTCAATGATAATATAAAAATAATATAATATACATATATATAGTGTGTGTATATATATAATATATATATATATATATATAGTTATATAGTGTGTATATATATATATATATATATATATATGAAGAGTTCATATGCAAAAGCCTCTAAGTGCCATTTGAAATTTTCTTCTAAAATTATCATTTTTATCAAGCTTGTGTATTTAAGTTCAGTAATTTCACTTAAATGGCAATGAAGATTACCTATTAAATGTCATTTAAAGGTTCTCAAAGCGATCCTGGGTGTTGACGTTCGAATATTTTCAAACAAATCGGAGCTAGACCCTCCCTCCTCCGCATCTCATCTCCTCCCCCTCCCTTCCGTGCTTCCTGAAATAATTGTGAACGTGCATACTTCTAGCTAATTATATCCTTGTGTGGGATTGGCGAACATAAGCGTCAATTTAGAAGAAAAAACAATTTAACGTTACCCACCTGTCAAGCAAAAACAGAGCAATCTGAATGTCGGACTGTAAGCCCTTCTGCCGCCAGAGTTCTCGCCATCGTTCAAAAGCTTTGCTACCGGTGTAAATTCGGAACTTCGCACATTCTTTATCCGACTCTTTCTTCTTTTTAATTTGTTCCTCAGACGTCTCTTTGGTCGTGTGTCGGTAATTTTTCAAACTTCCCTCTGATGCTTCGCTGCTCTCCTTCACACATACACACCCTTCATGTGCACGCGCACTAACCCCCAAGACCCACCCTCAAATACTTCTTGCCAGTGATTGGCTGGAATGTTTGTTAGGTTTCGTGGTCCGGGTAAGACATGATTGTTTTTGTTGCCGTTTGTGGAGCCTGTGGTGTCTACAGAGACCGTGTTTTTTTTACAGTGTGTTTAGGGGACAGGCAGCTAGCCGATAGTGAGGAGACGTTTGATGTATGTGACAAAAAATGTTTTGGCCCAGCATCGCTTAGAGAACCTTTAAGTGAAATTACTGAACTTAAATAGACAAGCTTGATAAAAATGGTCATTCTAGAACAAAATTTCAAATGGCACTTAGAGGCTTTTGCATCTGAACTCTTCATATATATATATATATATATATATATATGACAAAGAAAGAAAGAAAGAAAAAACAGATGCAACTTTTTTATTGAATAGCCAGTCCACCTTTTTTGGTGAGCCATGCACCAGCCATGCACTGTGCCTAATAACAGATAAAAAAATAAATAAATAAATAAATAAATTAAAACATAAAATTATCTTGTTTACGCAAAAGCTTCAACACATCAAAACCACAGGGGTTTGACACACTGTTTAAGTCATTAGAAAGATATTAATCTGCAATAATAAGCAAAACGCATACTAACAAGAGTAGACATTAGCAAATAGATGGCGTTTTCCAATTCATTCAAGGAAAGGCTTACACATCTGAAACATTGTAATGTGCTTCATTTAATCTATAGTTTAAGCCCAGCCTCTCTTAAATATCAAATTGTCTCAGGCACAGAGAAAAGAGAGGGAGAAAGAAAGAGAAAAGGAAAGAAAGAAAAAGAGAGAGCGCATATTGAAGAAAAAAAAAAGGGTGAGCAGAGGAGCACCAGGAGGAGGTGGAAGGGAGGGAGGAAGGGAGGGAGGGAGAGAGATAGAGCGAGAGAGAGAGAGCGCGCCTGGGCTGAATTGTGAGTGGCTTACGACACTCAGTGAACAGAAGGTGTTTCTGCATGCACTGCCAGTGCACTAGTCTGCTGCAAGGGATCGAGTATCTCTCGCCTCCCCGTACACGGTGCCTGCCTTCAGCCTCAGCATCTACAGCCTCCGCAGCCCACTGGAAATGAGCGTCACACAAAGAAGACCTTGCTGAAGATTTGAGTCTTACTACAAACACCATCATTGATCTTTGGATATCACTATACAAACAATTAAAAAGGAAAGGAAAAGAAAAAAAAAGAGCGCTATATGATGCAGATCTCACAGGTTTCGCATGTGTATAACTGCGAAGAAATGACCACTGACAGAATGCCAACGAGCTTCACTCAATGTGCATTGCGCAGGTCAGTGATCACTTTCGGTTATGGATGGTGATTTGCGGCAACAGATCTGGAATCTTTAACGAGAAGGAAGGAAGGAGAGAGAGAGTGAGAGTTTGGAGTGGATTATTCCCTCCTTCGTGCGCATTTTTCCCCCGCTCATCTCTCCCACAGATCGGCGCAGCAGTCGATGCAGAGCAACGTCGGAGAGAGGACAGCGCTCATGCATGCAGTCCGGGAAACTTGCACTTCCTCCCAGCCTGCTGAATGCCATTTGGATTCGTTCTCTTTTTGGCTCTTTCACACGAGGAGAACTAAGACATTGTAAGTCTGCCAGGATCTGGTGTCCGATGAAAAGGAGGGGGGGCTGAATTTGTACCACACTGGGGTCTTTTTTAGTTTCGCACATAATTAGTGTCGGCACAAAGGGATCAACTGAATAGAGGTTGTCAGCCTCTGGAAAGGGGTGAGTAGGCATCCTTTCATGTGAGATTGATGCTCGAGGAGTGCATTTTTTTTTTTTACCTCCCTGTCTCTCTTTTGCTTTCTCTGATCTAACATGAGCAAAGTGACTTGTCGTTTATTATCTGCCGCTCTTCTCGTCTCAATGTGGCAGGATTTCTCGAATATTTAAGTGACAAATCACCATCCATATTCTCTGTAAATAAATATAAGGGGAGTTACAAATCACAATGACAGAGATCTGAAAGATTCAATGGACTTTTTCTCTACGACACTGCGGGATATTCATGCTAATGGATTTCCTTCTAATTGGTCTGTACCTAAAGTGGCCCCTAAGGAAGCCACCTGGGCTGATTCTGTGCTCCCTGGGCATTTTTCTGAAAATAGTTCCGTTGGTGGGGGGAGCTGTCCGAGGCCATGCCGATGCGACAACAAGCTGTTGTATTGTGAGGGGCTCAACCTGACTGACATCCCTCAAAATCTGAGCAGCGCCATTGGTTTGTCCCTGCGCGAGAATAACATCTCTGAGCTGCGGGAGGGGAACTTTGTGGGCCTGTCACAGCTAACCTGGCTCTACTTGGATCATAACAATATCGAGATCGTGGAGGAGAGCGCCTTTGAAAGGCTGCGAAGGGTTAAAGAGTTGGATCTGAGCACCAATCGGATAGAGAGCCTGCCCAACGGGACATTTAGACCTCTGCCCAACCTGCGAATATTGGATTTATCCTACAACAAACTTCAGTTCTTAGAGCCAGACCTTTTCCATGGTCTTAGGAAGCTTACCAATTTACATTTGCGCTACAATGCCCTTAAATTCATCCCTGTGCGGATTTTCCAGGATTGCAGGAGCATGCAATTCCTGGATCTGGGTTACAACCAGCTGCAGAGCCTGGCACGTAACTCATTTGCCGGACTCTTCAAGCTCACCGAACTGCATCTGGAGCACAATGAATTGGTGAAAGTCAATCTGGCCCATTTCCCCCGCCTCATATCCCTGCGGACCCTCTACATGCGAAACAATAAGGCCACCATTGTGGTCAGCACCCTTGACTGGACCTGGGACCACTTGGAGAAGATTGACTTCTCCAATAATGAGATTGAGAGCATTGAACCTCATGTGTTTGAAAGTGTGCCCAACCTCAATGTTCTCATGCTGGACTCTAATAAACTGACTTACATAAATCAGCGGATTTTGGACTCTTGGAATTCCCTCAGCAGCATTTCTCTGTCGGGGAATGACTGGGAATGCAGCAGGAATGTCTGTGCCTTGGCTTCCTGGCTTAGCAACTTCCAGGGACAACGTGACAGCGGCCTGTTGTGCGCCAGCCCGGACATTGCACAGGGTGAGGACATTCTGGACGCAGTCTACGCTTTCCAGTTGTGCGAGGACAGCGTGGAAGCAACGACGCAGTCCTTCACCGCCACCAGAAACAGGGCCAAAGGCTTCATATACGACGGCCCGACGAGAAATCCGTACGACCTGCAGGATGTGGAGGGTGGGGAAGTGGTGACCAACTCCTTAACAGTGACTGCATCCGCTGATGACCTGGAGAGCACCATGCAGATTCACAAGGTGGTGACAGGCACCATGGCCCTCATTTTCTCTTTCCTGATCATGGTCCTCATGCTCTATGTGTCCTGGAAATGTTTCCCAGCAGGCGTTAGGCAGTTGAGGCAGTGCTTCACCAGCCAGCGTCGCAAACAGAAGCAGAAGCAGACCATGCAGCAGATGGCTACTACGTCTGCGTCCGAGTACTACGTTGACTACAAACCCAACCATATTGAGGGGGCACTTGTCATCATCAACGAGTATGGCTCTTGCACGTGCCAGCAGCAGACATCTCGAGAGTGCGAGGTGTGATAGTCCATCCATGTTGTTTTTAAAAGTCAGTGTTTTCAATGAATGGATGGATATGGAACACACTTAAACTCGGCACCTCATTTCGCTGCTCTCGGGAGGAAGCTACGTTTCTGGAGGGCAAATGGACTGAAAACAGGGATTTAGTGATGGTCTCAACAGCCACGAAGCCTTGCGAGAGAATCTGACTGTGAAACCTGTGTACTTGATGCAAAAGACGTGGAATAATTATGCTGACCTGTCCCGGCTTCTCTTGTGAAGAGTGGATATTTGAGCTTTAATGTGTCTTTCTACTTCAGGATATTATAAGACTCTCTAAAGCTACCGAGGACATTTTTACCGTGGAAACAAACATATGAACAGACACAATTGGAGGGGAAAACAACAAAACAAATAATCCCTTAAAGGGGGAAAAAATAATGATTCTATGTAAAATATATAAGAGTAGGGATAAAAAAATGCAAGATGTTATCCTATTTCTTTTGTAATCTATGGATAAAAAAAGAGGAAAATACAAATGTTTAAATAAATGAATTGCAATTCACAGTACCCATTATTGCAGGTGAGTTGGAGGGTTGCTTTTTTTTTGTGTCTGTGATCCCGGGGAAAGACGTTCAGAGAGCTCTGCAGTATTGCAAGATGTAAATAAGCAGGGCTGTTGGGAGCGCTTCACTTCATTTGAAATGTTAAGCCTCAGTCTAAGATTCAGATCTCCTCGTCTCTCCCCGAGATATAATCACTGTGCAAAGCTTGATTGCTATGGCTGTTGCAGTTGCCCCCCTTGTACCTATCCTGAATAGATTAAGCAAACTAGCAAAAACAAAACAGGCTGACGTGGTTTGATCCAATCTCACATGATAAAGTCAAACATCTGTGTGCTGTGCAAATAAACAAGACAAGGAGTGTCTAAGACCTTAATTCCTTCACTGCTTCCACAGACTTCAGAGACAAGACGTAAAAAGCGCTTCAAGCGAGGGGTAAAAATCAGAGTGAGAGGAGGCCTTAAACATTTAAATTGAAATGTACTTGAAATGGGGTGTGACTAACAATCCATGAGGTTTTTCTTTCTTTACCCAAAAAAGTTTAGCTGATTCAAGGTGTAGATCGTGATTCATTGTGGATTTCTGTTTAAATGTGACATTACTTTAAAAAGGCACCCTGTGGTCACCCGTTGTTTTTCTGTGAGTGATCATACTGACGGATTGTCAGATTGTGTGCATCCCGCATCAGTTGCTGTCGAGCTGGTAAAAGCAAAAGGCCTTTGAGAGAAGGCACAGGCTGCTCCCTAGTGTTCACACCAGCAGCGGAGGAAGACGAGATACCGCAGCAACAAGCCCTTGCATTTATCTCGCCCAGGCATTGTGTGTGTTCGTGTATACACCTGTTGCTTGTCTATATGCATTCTCTAAGCTCAGCTCAGGATTACTGCCACAGTGAAAAGTATCTGGACTAAGCAACAAAAGCAGGGTGGTTATAAAAAAGAGAGATCTCACTTTGCATTGACTGTATTGTCACCTCACTCACTTGGCTGTTATAATAATTGATCTGTTTAGTAAGCATAGTCAGGGGACAAGCCACTGTGAAAATGGAGTGTGTGTGTGTGTGTGAGGTACAACGTTTATGTTTGTGAGAATGTGTGTGTAAGTTATGCATTTCATTTGACTATTTAAGTGGGTGTGGGTGTGTGTCCTGTTCTGACCAGCTGCATGTGTGAAGTTATAATAATTTATCATGTGTGACTGGGATATGCCTTAAATGGAAAATGTAAGGCTGAGCAAATATTTTTACAATCAAATCAAGCAGTTTTATTATGGATTCCAAAGTCCCGCCCCATTCGAATCCTTTAATACTTGATATAAAACTGTTCTATTTTCAGCACTGTATTTGATGCGTATATGACGCTAAGCCAAGCTAAACCAATAAAATGTATTCCTACTGTTGTAAATGATCAGCATTGTGACACGCTTTGCCCTTTCCTAATTACTTTAGTCATGTTTTTTTTTTTTTTTTTGCTGTTAATGCTTGTTTTCTGTCAATGGAGATGTTTTGAAGATGCTGATGCATTATTCAAAACTTCTGATCTGAGACTCCTTGGACTGCAAACTTTTTACCACCATTTTTAATTTCCTTGCGTTGAATGATATTGTTTGTTTGAAGCAAACCCCTGCATATGTACTCTCCACCGTGTGGTTGGCTTTTTAATGAATCCTCTGGAAAGTTTTTAAAAAAAAAAAAAAAATCCAACCCTCTATTTGACTGGCAGATTCCTAGCATCAAAACAACAATGAAATGACAGCATTGTTGCCCGTATGGTCAGAAAAAACAATAAATTGTAGCTATTCAAAATCCCTCTTTCTCAAAACAGGTGGTTGGATTGAGGGAAACAAAAACATGTCATTCAACAACAATAGCTGTTAACCATACCAGCGGCAAGGTAACATGGAAAACAATGAAGTTGTTTGATTTCATTCACCCTTCTCTTATCTAGCCCTCAACAAATTTAAAGCTCAAATCAAAGCGCTTCTGTGCCCTATTTTTAGCCCTTCTAGCTTTGTATCAATATTGCATGTTTGTCATTTCATCTTGGCACTGCTGGGAGTTGTTTAGAAGTCCCCTTTCCCTTAATCATTATTATTTTCTACTTTCTTCACAAGAAGCAAATTAATATTTCAAGTGGCATGAGGTTTTGTTTAATATGAATCTCTCTCCTCCTCCTACAAACCCCAACTGTTCTGCCAATTAACTCTAATAATTATTACCATTATTGATGAGGCTTGAGGCAGATCGATATGGATAAGTTTTATGCAATTACAGACTTTCTTGCCTGTTACTTTTTCAGACAAACAAACCAAACAATAATAATAATTTGGGTTAGTGTTGACAGAAAGAAAAAAAAAATATAGGGGAGAGGGGATACACCAATCTTTTATTGATATTTTAGCTAATTAGTGTGGGGAGCGCTTGGCGATATGCCCAGTACTATCAGAGAGAGAGAGAGAGAGAGAGAGAGAGAGAGAGAGAGAGATAGTCATCAATGGTCACTAAGACATGGATTCAAGCAGTGAGAAAAGGCATGAGCATTCTGATCAGTGGGAAGGCAGTTGTGCCAAATGGAAGGGGCAAGACATTAGCTTTTGACCTTGTTAGCCTGAGCGACCAAGTGTGTGTGTGTGTGTGTGTGTGTTGCAAAAAGCAACCGATTATGAAACTCTCAAATGATTACTAGCGGTTGTAGTGTTTGCGTGTTGTACAAAACTGAGTTGAGGAGGGTCAATACTGGTAAACAAAGCAAAATGGTGAGATGTTACAAATACCTAGAGAACAAACACAAATTCTCAAACTATGCAAACCATGTGGGTAAAGAATATTGGAATGGTCTCACAGACTTAAAGGCACAATGTGTCATTTGCACCGTTAGAGGTCGCTTATTCAAACCAAAGGTTTAGCTTGATGACGCTGCACTGTAAATGAAATAATCTGGTTGCCTTAAAACTTTAAGTTCATTGAAATTGAAAAATTGAGTTAATACAATGAAGGAGATTGATTTAATAATCAGAAACTCTAAATATTATGTTTTCCGAACCACATAAATTATCTAAATTGATTTGACAGAAGAAAAAAAAAGTTATGATAACAAATATATATATATATATATATATATATATATATATATATATATATATATATATTTGAGCGTGGAATCATGGGCGTTCTTCACCTTTACAGCCTGTTACATTTGATCACTTAAATTAACATTATTCATTAAATTAACATCATTTTAATTTAACGAAGATGTGTTTCCATGGTTTCTACAGACGTAAAAAATGTAAATTGAGGGTAAGATATGATGTCATTGACAGGCGATGTACGGAATGACACGGACCGTTAAAATAGCTGTATCTGGTTTTAAACATTGTTGAAAACATCTAGGATAGTGCAAGTACATGTCAATAAAATATATAACATTGCTCTAGTGTTTTTTGGATATTTTAATCCAAAAATATTACATATTGTGCCTTTAAGTGTGTAGATAAAATCACTGTTTGAATGACTGCAACATTACAAGATTGTTTCCTATAAGGAAAGCTCAGATCAGTGTTATTTTAGTATCATTGAGATACTATCATAGTTTTTTTTTTATTCAAATTTTCAATTACTTAATAATAATTTTGTTGTATGTCTGACATTTTTTTCTTTCTATAGCTTTTCATTTGTATTGCAGTTAAAGTTATTTTTATTAAACTAAATGAAAACGAGAAATGTTTCATTGGCAAATAGATATTTCTTAATTTAAGTTGACTTTGCTATTCAAGTAACAAAAATACTGTCTCCAATCAAAAACAGATATTTTAAAATGAACTATAATTAAATAATCTCTCAAAAACATCTCTATACTATTGCTATATGTAAACTGTTTAATTTCTGTCCATTTTCATTTCTCTTAGGGAACATCTGAGAGAAAATGTATACTTAAATAAAACAGCAGAAACATTGTCTAAAACAAAACAAAATCAACATATTTTCCTTTCAATCCTGTGTATTGGCATCTAATCTTCAAAAACCTAAGAAACCAGACCACGTTTTCCAAGATTGCATTTCATAAGAAGTAAGAAATGGCTTGCGTAAATTCATAGAAGGTCGGTGATATGGGAAAACTAGATTAAGTGTCACGGTATCGGCATACATAAAAATCCAGATATTTCATCAGAGCCTCTTGATAGAGCACCAGATGCTTAACAAATTAATTAACCTTGCTTGCTGTCTCTGAGTGTTGATTGAATGCCCCTGTGTGCCATTCCCTGCCTCTGGTCTCGCATAATAAAACACCCACACATAAACAGAAATCCTGCCAAAACGCACAGGACTGACCGAGACTCTAGAAGAGGACATTAAGAATCTCCACAAGAATTGACTGTTGGTTCCCTCGCTGACTCGTAAATGTATTCAAGTCGATATCATCCTTTATTTGCAGTATAAAGTTATAAAGAACTAGCTTT